TAGCATCAAGTTTCGATTCACTTTAATTTTTCAGTTAAGAGGACGCTACACCCGCATGTGTTGTCTCCGTCTTACACACGTACGACATAGACAAAACGCGTTTAGAAAGTCTGAGTATAACTCGCTCAATTTTGGTTCTAGAGTAAAAATACCTATTACGAAATTGAATTGTGATAATATTTCTAAGGGCAAGACGCTGCGGTTTTTTTAAAAAATTTAATTTTTTAAAAGTCAAAGGTATTTTAAAAATGGTGAAATTTTTTCTATTTCTAAACGATATAATGAACGTTATATTGGGTATAATGGAAAAACCGTAGCGTCTTGCCCTTAGAAATATTATCACAATTCAATTTCATAATAGGCATTTTTACTCTAGAACCAAAATTGAGCGAGTTATACTCAGACTGCCTAAACGCGTTTTGTCTATGTCGTACGTGTGTAAGACGGAGACAACACATGCGGGTGTAGCGTCCTCTTAACGACATAAAACGTGAATTTTGTTATGTTACGAGTTTGTAAGACGGAGACAACACATGCGGGTGTGGCGTCTTCTTAAGAGGATGTCAACGCACTATTAGAATAGACGGATAGACGTAATAGGTAATAAGTATACTTAATGATATCTAATAAAATTACACTTTTATCAGTTTTCCCAACATTGCAAACTTTATGATGGATATATCATATATAGGCAGGTGGCACACGTGATTGTAAACATTCTGAACTTCTGAAGCAAGTATCAGGACGAGAATTAATACTTCAATTTAAACGTGTATAAAATATAACTAGGACAGCACTACACTAGGTAGTATAATATACACGGCTTACAAATTTACATTTTTTCTCGAATGAACCACGAACGTGTTCAATAAATGTAAGGGTATTTAAAAGCGTTCAATAATTATAATATTATGAACCTGAACGACTTTGTTTCGACGTACATTTTATAATACAAAATATACAAAAATCATAAACAATGTTGTTAAGACGATGTCAGCGCACTATTTTATAACATCTCTGGCCCACACGCAGCATAGACAAAACGTATAAACGCAGAATCATTTTTTCTATGTTTTTAAGTAATCTGAGTAAAATCACCCATTGCAAAAAAGATAGAAAATAATAGTTTTGGGGGAATGACATATCGATTATATATTTTATTGTTATTTGACTATTTGAATTCGACTTTCAAAATAAACAAAAAAATGTCGTACATTTAAATGACGTTTAAATTGTTTTGAGACAATATTTAGACAAATCGACATGACATTCACTCAAAAATATTATTCTTTATCTTTTTTGTAATGAACGATGTTACTCTAAGATTACTTAAACACATAGAAAAAATGATTTTGCGTAAATGCGTTTTGTCTATGTTGCGTGTGAGCCAGAGAGAGAAAACGAGTAGTGCTCTGACAGCCTCTTAAGTGAGTTATGAGCATTTTTAATTTACATTTATTATTCACTTAAAAACTAAATTATCGTAAAAAAACTTTCAACCAAACAAAGATAATGTTAAGTTATTTTTTTGGATTCTGAGTGGATTCTGAGTGAAACGATGAATGTATTGATTTTACAATGATGTGTGTTTTTATATAGGTATTTATTTTTGTTAAGTTTAAACAAACGACCGTAGTATACCAAATACATGAAATGTTCACTGGTTGTTTGTATTTGAATTTTCTATACACGATAACATTTTCAAAATATTATGATTTGTTTTGAAATGTTTATGAACATTTTCATTTTTCATTTTTTTTTTCTAAAAATATCAATAATATTTTATTTGTGGTTAAAAAAACTTGAAAATTTAATACAAGGCTCCTAATATATTGTTAAAATGACGTTTGAAAAAGATTAAAAATCCTTAGTCACAGTTTTAATTTATATAAGCATTTAAAGTTCAAATTAAAGGACAAAATACGGAAAAATCACGAAAATTAGCAAATTATTTTGAATTGAGAATTCATAAAAATTTTTCTTTTTTAATCCAAGATTTGAAAATGTAATACAAGATTTCTCATAAATTTTGTCTACCTTTGTCAAAAAAAAAATGTCTACAAGCAAATCAAATTAAATTTTTATAAGCGTTTGAAATTCATATTTTTACAATATTGGATATTCACTGGATTTCTCGTGTACGTAGAGGTTAGTTTATTGTTATTTAAAAGCGAATAACAGTAGATACATGAAAATTTTATTGAATGTTCATATTTTCATTTTCTATACATCATAAAATTTTGAATATATTTTGATACCTTTTGGGCTGTTTACGGACATAATCAGTTTTCAAATTGTAGTTTTTTTCTATAAATATTAATAAAATTGTGATTGCTGGGTAAAAAAGCGTGAAAATTTAATGCAATTCTACTGATATTGTATTGTTATAAAGTTATTACCTACTTATATAAAGTTGAAGTAGAATTCATTAAGTATTTAGTAATATCATAGGCTGACTGACCGTTTTCGTTCAGAATCGTTTTACTTATACAATGATATTATACTTATATCATTGAATTCAAATTTAACACCATACATTACAGTGACCCACTTGTAACCTACCTACTGTACAGCAGAGCTACACCCACTTACCCACTTTTGTTTTATTGTTTAGTTGTAGTTCTGTATTTATGAAAATTTTGTTAAAAACACAGATCATGATGATACATTATTTTAATTATTGTCAAAATGTATGATAAGTAATAACATATAAATGTAATCCATAAAAAAATTACAAAAATTAATACTTACCTATCATTGATTGACAAAATGAGTGAATTACGCCAAATAGCCGCATCTTAGTCATACAATCATTATCAGTGATAATATACTAATATAGGTACTGCTGTGAATCAGAATTTTTTTTCCGGGCAACAGAAAAGTTAAGATTCATTTTGAACACCATACACCGAATATTAACACGTTGAGTGCCGCGGTCGACGGGTAGTCGACAATTTGTGTAGGCATCTTTATTCTTTATGGCCTTATAATTTACTCGGTTATCAGAGCAATTCTTCCGTTTTTTTCGGTGAAATGTCTTCTTTTCAACGGTGTATTCGGATTTTATTTTTAGCAAAGTAATGGTTATTTTTTCCCAGAAAATCGTCGATGACGGCGACCACGACAATTGTATACATAATTATATTATAGTATATATATATTTATTATTCTTATAATATACGGTTGCAAAGTAATTAACTATATAGTATTGCCAAATTTATTTTTCTTATATATTATTATTATAAATATATATTTATATTATTATGATTTATAAACGAAAATAATTCAAGGAATTTACATCATTATATTATTATTTTGTTTACCCGCATACTATTCATTACCCTGAGCTATAATTTATTATTTGTGCACGTCTATTAGTCGCGTTCAGTATACGCTGAAAGCCTGAAGTGTTCGGTCTAGAGATGGAAAGTTTAGTTCATTTTTGTGAATAGTTCATTAGTTCACAGTTCATTAATGTGAATAGTTCAAATGAACTATTCTTCAGTTCACATAGTTCATTAGTTGTATGGATCATACAGAAACTGATATGGTTTGGCAATGAACTGAATAGACTATTAGACTAATGAAATAATGAACTATTCGTCTACTAGTAAAATCCTGAAAACAGCTGTTTACAATCATAATAAATATGATACGATTACATAAATATCAGTATCATTATTAAAAATATTTATTACAATTATCACTATTATCATAGGTATTACGTAGTAGGTAGGTACCAAAATGAGTAAAAGTTTAAAATCAAGTATCAACTATACCTACCTATTGGCTATCTAACATCTAGATGTTTGAGTGTTTGACCTATGTGGGAATTAAACATTAATTAATTAACTTCTTTGTCTATAAAAGTTATTATTACTAATAATAAACTGACTTCGAGACCTCTATAGTCTATACTCTATAGGAACCCAGTACACTTGTTAATAAATTAAAACCAAATTTGAAAATTGAATACACCTCTTAAATTAATAATTTCTTACCTAGTAAAATAATTACATTAATTTATGATTTAATAAACAACTGTTAGGTTGTGGCTAATTACCAAATAATAAAGTATTTCAAAATTCTAATACATGGCAAATATTTGTATATTAAGTTTAAAAATATGTTGCAGAAAAAAATGCAAATTAGTGTAGGTACAATTAAAGATGAAATTATTGACAATTAAGAATCATTAATTCAATAATAAATTATTTGAACATAATATATAAGATAGCGGATACTGGATAGTGGATATAGGTACTTAATTATAAAATACAATAAGACATACAATTATTTTATGCAATAAATATATTTCTTTATTTTCTTTGTATGATACATTTTTTTACCTAGCTCATACTATTACTTACTAACACAATAATTAATTACAATAGTTATTAAAATAAAACAAGAAGAAATGGCGAAGAGGAATCTTAAAAGGTTTTTTTAAAAGTATAATTTTTAATATTTTTGTTTACCACATTATTTGTTTGTCTTTTGTTAGTTACATTCAATAAATACTTCAAATTTTATGCTATTGTGTTGTTATTACTTTTATTATTTAATAAAAAATTACATCCCTAATCCCTAATCCTTATGTTCATTAATTATGTGAGAAGTGGCAACATTTTGAAGATGACCAAATTGGTATTCTGTTAAATTTTTATTTTATATAAGTAAAGAAATTAAAACAAATATGTTTTTTCAAACGATAATGATAATCTTATATAATAAGATTGGTAATATAACTTTTCAAACAATAGAGTGGTAATAATATTGTAAAATGACAAGTTTAGACATGTAAAATCATGCACACATTTGAAACCATACCCAGTATAACTATAGTCTTTTTATGACTGTATGCACTAATATACTACCTAATAATTATTACAGTATCTGCATTTGCATTTAACAGTGAACAGTGTTTATTTTATTGAGCGTAGTGAATTTTCCAGATTTAAATAATTTTAATTAAAAGTACATTTTATAAATTGTTAATAATGGCCCCACGTAAAAGGAGTGATATATGGAATCACTTTACTGAATTAGAAGATAATAAAGCCAAATGTGGGTATTGCAGTAACAAGTACAGTGTTGCTGGTGGATCTTTTGGCAATTTGAGACGCCACTTAAAAACTGTATATCCCGCTGTAATAATATCAAAAGCAGTAGTGACTAGTGATGAAAGTCATGTAGATGATCCTGCAGATGATGGTATTTTTTAATAAATTGTTCTGTACTATTATTTTTCTTTTATTAATTTTAAATTCACTATCATTAAAACCCTTTATGTTATTTTAAATGAATAACTGAGCAGGTCCACCAGTAGAAACATTGATTGTTCCTGGTACTAGCGGTGTTAAACCAAGCCAACCTACTCAAAAACAAAGTAGCATTATGCATTTTATGCAAAATAAGAAACCTATGGTAGACAGTAGATCAAAACAAATTGATGAGCAGGTTACAAAAATGATTGTTAAAGGGTAATTACATATTTTTATTTTTAGTTATATTAAAATTATTAATACAATAAAATTTGTCTAGAAACAAAAAGAAAATCAATAATTATATTTTAGTTTAATATTATATTTTGAATTCCTACATATAACTAAAATAATACAATAAGATGTTTACTGGCTTTAAAAATTTTTAATACTCTTAAATACATTTAAAATCTATATATTTATACACGTACGCATTTTCTGAAAGTTTTTTTCTAGTATAAATAAGATTGTATTAGCTAATAGATTTCAATGCCACTGTTTCAATTTTTTTTTTATTTTATGATCTAGATACTATGCGTTTTCTATAGTGGACGATAAGGAATTTCGAAAATTCGTAAAAATGTTGAACCCTGGATACGAGCTTCCTTGTCACCAGACAGTATCTAAAAATCTAGTTCCAAAATTATACAATTCCACATTAGAAAATTTAAAAAAAAAAGTTGAAACTGCAAGGGCAGTTTCATTAACAACAGATGGATGGACTTGTATAAATAATAGGAGCTATATTGCAGTCACAGCTCATTTTATTGATGGTGACGGTACATTGTGTTCCGTTTGTCTTGGTTGCGAATATTTTGACCAACGGCACACGTCAGATAATTTAGCTGCCTTTTTAAAAAAAATAGCAACTGAATGGAAATTGAATAATAAAGTTGTAGCCATTGTTACCGAAAATGCTTCAAATATTACTAAAGCTGTAGGTCAATTACATTATCGACATATAGGATGTTTTGCCCATTCCATTAATCTTGTTGTTCAACACTCTCTTGAGAATATTTCGGTTATAGTATCTAAAGTAAAAAAAATTGTTGAATTTTTTAAACGTAGTAGTAATGCATTAGTAAAACTTAATTCAACTCAATCTCAAATGGGTCTACCTAAGTTGAAATTAAAACAAGACTGTGTGACCAGATGGAATTCGACATTTGATATGTTGAAGAGAATTGTTTCCATCAAAGATGCTGTAATTTCAACTTTAGCTGTGTTACAAACCGAAATTGCAGTTTTAACTCCAGCTGAATGGGATATAGTTGAAAAGGCCATTGATGTACTGCAAATTTTTAATGAAGTCACCATCGAAGTCAGTTCGGAAAAAACAGTGTCTGTGTCAAAGGTAATAGTTTTAGTTAGTTCTATGTTCCAGACTATAGAAACTTATGTTCATGATATATCTTTGCCGTATGAAGTAAACCAATTGGCCATTTCTCTGAAAAATCAATTGAGGAAAAGGTTTAGTGACAGTGAGGAAAATTAAATAATGGCACAAGCCTCAATTTTAGATCCGAGATTTAAAAAATATGGCTTTATGAGTGATAACAAATTTAAAAATGCTTTTTCTCTTTTGAGATCACGTTTAGGAAATATTCGCTTACCATCAAATCAAATAGACAATGCTGAACAAACACCTTCCATATCAACTCCATCTCCATCTCCTCCAGTATCTCTGTTGTGGAAAGTCTATGAAGAAAAGGTAGAACAATTCAAAGCCACTCAGACATCAACAGCATCCGGAATAATAGAATTGGATAGATATATGCAAGAGCCATTAATAGATCGGCATTAGGATCCTTTGAAATGGTGGCATGAACGAAAACATATATATCCTCATCTACATACATTTGTCATTAAGCGACTCTGTGTGACTGCAACTAGTGTTCCTTGTGAAAGGATATTTTCAGAAGCTGGCCAGATTATTACGTTAAAGAGAAACCGCTTGGATACAAAAAAAGCATCACAACTTATATTCTTGCATAATAATTTATAAGAAATGTATTTTTGTAGAAATAAAAAATAAAAAATGTTGAGGTTTGTCTATAGCATTCTTTTAGAATTTTAATATGAGATGTTTTATTAATTAAATAATAATAAAAAGTTAAAAATATTTTCTATGTAGAAAATAGAAATAAATCAACAGAAAATCATTTTTATTATGAAAGTAATAGGTATTTACAAAATTTACTTGATTGGTATCCACTATCCAGTATCCACAATTTAATTTTTCTTAGTGTGTTCACTGTGTTATTAATTATTATTTAAAGTAGTAGTAGTAACGCGGTGTGGACTGTTGACTAACTAGTAACTATTAATTAAGTTCAATCCACAGATATATAATATATAATATATATTATACTATTATAGTAACAATTATAATTATAATATATACCTACCTAATATCTATTATCTATATATTTTATTTCTAATATATTATTTTATCTGATTGTGAACAGCTGTTTTCAGGATTTCGAATTTTCGTACCAGTGATAAAACCTATTTACATGAACAAGGTAGTAGGTACCTTACTATCTAGTTCATTATAATATTGTTCTATGATAATATTCCGATCTGATCACAGCAGCTGAAGTTCATAAAACGTTCACGAACTATATTATTAAAACAATGCTACCAATTTTTTTTTTGAACTGTGAACTGTTAAGTTACAGGTACTGAAACAGTTCAGAATAGTTCATCAAAGTGAATAGTTCAAATGAACTATTCGTTCACGAACTTAACATCTCTAGTTCGGTCATCTCTTTATAATATTCCAAACATAATAGTATATTGTTTACGCAATTCAAATACTAAATAATGATAATAATAATTAGTAGGGCTCGGAACTTAATGCACTTAAAAAGTACTAAATATGCATGCATTTATGCGCTTAAAAAAGTACAAATATGCTCTAAAAATATGCACTTATATTTAATTATTTTACACAACATTTTCATTTGTACAAATATTTTTTTTAAATTTGTAAATAAATTTATATATATTATTTATATATATTTATATATATATTATATATATTATATATATAAGAGTTCAATATTATATATATATTATATATATTTATATATATTTATTTATATATATCTATATAATAATGATTACAACCAATACTTTTATTTTATATGATATATTAATTAAAACATTGATCAACTCATAGTAGAATATTACATATTTCACAAAATAGAGAATCAAAAAACGGAGACTGGTCTTCGACAGGAAATAAGAAATATAAATAATAATTTGTTTACAATAATATAGTCTTCGTACAATTGTCAGTATTAAAATCATAAAAAGTCTTTCTTTAAATATTCAATGCTATTCATGGAGTACATACTAACACAACGTGTATTATTAATAATTAATAATTTGTTGGTTATTATTATTTCATGAACACATTTATACATAAATTATGTGTATGACGTATGTATAAACTACCTATGTTATATGTGTATTTATAAAATATATACTTATTAGATAAATACTAATTCAAGAGAAATATCTCAAACATCCGAAATGTTTAAAACAATGTTAGTAGTCAATAGAAATTTCTGTAGGCAAATTCCTATTGTTGCCATCATTTAAACATAACTCAAAAACAGTGCTCCAACATCTATAAATTTTAATTGCCACACTATTTCTTCAATCGATTGGTGGAAATACGAAAAGTGTAGGATAAAAATTGAATTGTATATTATAAATATTATTATATTGAAATAATATAAGTTTTTATAAAGTAAATAATCAAACTTCTTTCTTTCTTTTTATATTATATAAATCTTTTTATATTTTTGTTTTCATATTAATTTTATAATTTAAGTACCAAAAGTCATATTATACATTTTTTTAGAGCACATTTTAAGTGAATATTTCATGTCTTTTTAGTGCATAACTGCATCCATATTTTCAGGTTTATAAGTAGGTTCTTCTAGTTCTCAGTCTTAGTTATTACTTATTTATTACTTATTTTTTTTAATAGTCAGATAATATAGTATTAATATTATTCTGTATAACTATTAACTAATAATAACTAATACAATATTAGATAATGTTTACAGTATTTTTCATTGTTTACAGTGTTGATATTATTATTTTAATATGTATATCATTGGCCTAATTTATAAGTATTAAATCCAGTCACCAAAAATGTAATTTCATGTTTATTAATATCATGAGTATCGAAGATGAATAAATGTCTATCTTAGGAATAGGATTATTAAAAAAAAACATTGTGTAAATGATATTTAATTTATAAAAACAGTATAAATAGTTTTATATTAAGTTAATATCCTATACTAATATAGTTATCAGTTATCGCCACTTTTTATTTATTGTTTTGTTATTTAATTATTTCAATATTGGTTAAAAAATATGTGAATTAAATATTTAAATACGTTAACATGTTAACATTAAATCATCAGACATGTTATAGTATTTGTATTTTATAATGTTAAAATTGTTTAAGTAGTACCTAACAATTTAAAAAAAAAATTATTCAATGAATAATTTTCAATAAAAGAGGAGGATTCTAATTTGAATAGTGAATATTTGAGTCATATTGGATATTATTTCTATGAAAGGAATTAATATTACAATTTACTATACCTAAGCAAGACTATAAGTTGAACTAAATTTTTGCAAAAACATTGCTTCAAAAATGCCATTGTGGGAATGAAATATACAGGTTGATTTTTTAAGTATGCACACACCCATTATTATCCTTAATATTCCATTTATTCAAATTCAAATTTTAGAATTTTTAAGTATACCTAAATACCATATTTTCCAATTCCTGATATTTTTTGTACTACTTAAAAAATCTCCAGTGGCCATACAAACATCTATTTTTCAAATAAAAACATCCCCCCCCTTTTACTACAAATTATTTAGCAGGTAATTTTCTTGAAAACGTTGATGTATCTAAGTTCTAATAAGTAGTTTCTGAGTTAGCAAAATGTTTGTACCAAAGATAATAATCCTTAAGAGGACGCAACACCCGCATAATATGTTATCTCCGTCATACAAACGCGTAACATACCAAATTTACGCTCAGATATTCAAATTTTATGCCGTTGGCTTTACAATTTGTGTGAATCGACCTATTATGAAACTTGATAGTAAGAACATTATCTGTGTTTTGTTTTAAGTTTTTTTACGATAATTCAGTTTTTAAGAGGATGTCAGCGCACTATTAGTTTTCTCTCTTTGGCCCACGCGCAACATAGACAAAACCATTTTTCTGTGAGTTTAAGTAATCTTAAAATCACCTATTACAAAAAAGAATGAGAATAATATTTTTGTGGGAATGACATATCGATTTTATATTTTATTATTATTTGACTTTGTATCACTTTAAAAGTAAACAAAAAATTTTTGTAAATTTAAATGATGTTTAAATTGTTTTGAGACAACAATTAGACAAATCGTTATGTCATTCTCTCAAAAATATTATTCTCTATATTTTTTGTAATGGGTAACTTTACTCTAAGATTACTTAAACACATGGCAAAACTGATTTTGCGTAAATGCGTTTTGTCTAGGTTGCGTGTGAGCCAGAGAGAGAAAACGAGTAGTGCTCTGACAGCCTCTTAAGTGAGTTATGAGCATTTTTAATTTACATTTATTATTCACTTAAAAACTAAATTATTGTAAAAAAACTTCCAAAAAAACACAGATAATGTTCTTACACTCAAGTTTCATAATAGGTTGATTCACTCTAATTTTTAAGCTGATGGCATACAACTTGAACTATTTAGAGTAAATTTGGTATGTTACACTTTTGTAAGACGGATGCGGGTGTAGTGTCCTCTTAAATATGGTTTTAACAAAACTATAAACTATATGTAATATTAAATGTAGTATTCATTATACTTGGATCATTTTTAAAAATTATTTATATTGATAGATCAATAGTAATTACAAAAATTTTCAAATTTACTTAACCCATTACCATACACATATTATCCTTAATACACAAAATTATACAACTCAATAACTACTAGTTCAAACTTTGACTTATATACATCAAAATTCTCAAAAACATCTGCTGAATAATTAAAAGTAAAAAAGGGGAGGGGGGTTTATTTGAAAAACAGAAGTTTGTATTATCACATGATCGACCTTAAGTGGTGTAAAAAATATCAAGTAGGTAAACGAAAATATTATATTTAACAACAAAGTTATCTTCAAATGTTTGTGATATTGACGAAAATAATACGAAAACTCTTTTAACAAAGCAATTAAAAACGGCACAGTTAATATAAAAACAATAAAAATATTACCATACAATTCTAGACTAAAATATATAGGAAAACAATAAAGATACTATTATACAATATAAGAAAATAAGTTTTCATAAAAAAAATCGTGAATACTAATAAGTTCTAAAATGTTGTGGCCTATCCATCACTACACTTACTGCTCAGTTCGTGCATTATTCCAAAATGTTTTGACCATGGTCCAGCTTTAAGTCTTGGGGTTTAGAAGTTCCGTCATCTCCACCAACGACATACAATAATCCATCTAATACAGCAAATCCTATAGGTATTTAAAAATTTATCTTAATTAAATAGGTAGATATATTTAAAAAAAAATTATTTCATAAAATCATTTAGAATTCTTTAAAGAGTAATTACCTGGAAATTGTCGACATAAATACATATCTGGAATAGAAGTCCAAATTCCTGACTGTATGCCTCAACACTTTTGTGAACTTCGAATCCATCAGTACCACGTACAGCATACACTACACCATCTACAACACTAATACCCAGAGCACTG